CCTCATGTTACCTTAAATAATACAGATGACTGTTATCTTGTATACTTTTCCAGGTGTGGTTGTTGTGTCTTGGTATCCACCGGAGCAATCAGATCCAGAGGGTATTCCTAGTGATTCCTTAATTATACCACTGTTAGATGCAGCTTATAAGTATCAACTGAAAGTGAGTATACACTTGACAAATTTTCACCAGCACATAACCTACAATGACCAAGTTTATTCTCCATACATTTTATTCTCAATGGTTGACACAGCTTAATTACTTTTCTTGAAATTCACTGTGACTGGCAGTTTCAAAGTTCTGAGGAAACTTGGAAAACCTAAATTAATTTTTTTAAATGTTAACATCAGTTGCATGTATTTTAACAAATTTTCAATTCAAAATTTTTACTTCAAAATGGCTTCCTTAATTTTATTTGCACATTTTCATTCAATTGAAACCTTTCTCCCAGCAGAATTTAAAGAATTTGGCTTTGTAGCCACTATAAGTTTACAAGTTGTCACAACCATATGCGGAAAACGTGAACAAGTAAATTTTATTTGAAATTTCTCTAAATTGTATATCAGGCAGGTAACCGTCAAATTTCACTAATTGTACGTATATTCTGTTCTTTTGGCAAATTTCAATATGATCTGTGTTTTAACACATGTTCTTAGAACAGGCAGTAATAAAACCCAGTCAATAATAAATATACTTTTATAGTATTTTAACACTTTGAGCGTCACAGTTCAGACACTAGTCACCAAATATCCATACTTTTTCACATAAAATGTTGTGAAATTTTTTTTTATCAAAAACTAAAGCAATGTGACATTTTGTTTTTTTTGGGGTTCCAAATTAATATTGAATTCAGTGAAAAGTACAGAAGATGTAAACAAATTAACTCCAATATAATTAAGACAAAATTTGGCACTCAAAAAATTAAAATAAATAATGTTTGCATAAGAAAGGATAGGCTGGTTGACTTGATCATGTATTTGTTTTTTTTTGTATTTTCATGTATTTTATTATTTTTTTTTTCAATTTATTTGGTAATCCCGAAAGCCCAAAAGTATGGATGATATTATATTAACAAAAAAAAGAAGGAAAAAAAAAGCCCAAACTAGGATCTTATTTTAATCAGATTGACTGTCTCGTAACAATGAATCATATACAGGTATAAACAAGTCTGTCTGCTTCACAGATTGCCATACATAGTGAACCGTACAAAGATCGAGATGACCACACTTTAAAAGAAGATGTGAAATACATTATTGATAGTTACGCAGCACATCCTGCTTTTTACACCTACGAGACACAAGGTAGAATGGTACCGTTGATATACGTTTATGATTCGTATCTCACAAAACCTCAACAGTGGAAAAGACTTCTGAAACCTGATGGCAAACACAGCATCAGGGGAACACGTTACGATGCGATATTTATTGCACTTCTCGTTGATCTGAAACATAAAAACGAAATCATCAGTTCGGGATTTGATGGATTTTATACCTACTTTGCAACGAATGGTTTCACTTATGGATCAGCTCATAAAAACTGGAAAGAGCTTTCTAGATTTGCCGGGAATGCAGGATTGATGTTTATTCCCAGTGTTGGGCCTGGGTACGTGGACACGAGAATCCGTCCATGGAATGCCCAAAACACACGACAGCGAATGGGCGGTAAATATTACAACGATGGATTCCAGCAAGCTTTTGAAGCTGATACCGAGATTATATCGATAACATCGTTCAATGAGTGGCATGAAGGTTCTCAGATAGAAAAGGCAGTGCCAAAAAAGACTCCACAGTACACATACATGGACTATGCACCTCAGAAATCGGATTACTATCTACAGACAACAAGGGACTGGGTTGACAAATTTGCAAAAAAACAAGAGAATAACAAACTTAAACTATAGAGGGAGCCAATTTGATTTTTTCAGTGTATATTCAGTGAAACATTCAGTACTATATGACTATATCATGCATCATTCGCCAACAAGAATATGTTTTGATTGTGAAATAATTTTGGGGTATGTCATTAAAAGTTGTTCGAACCATATTTTACAACTTTTAGAAACATTGTTTATGCATGTATCGTATTTGCTACTTAGTAGCGCATACACTTACATTACTGATATACATGCATTTATTGTGAAATGAGTCATATATTATAATAATTCATTACATATTACAATAAATGCAATATTTGGAGTATGAGTGATTCTACTGGACATGTGCTTTTAATACGCAAATATGATATTGGCGAGGGAATTATTTGCTTACAGTAACTACCCACTATGTGATGCTGTATATCATAACTTTTTGTGTGAATTTTGTTTTGTATTTTTGAAAGTTATATACTGGTATTTATATTTTGTTTAAAAAAACAAAAGAGATGATTTATCATGATTGATATTTACACAACTGCTAGTTACCAAGTGCAATAGGGCAAAATTGTTGTATATCGTATAATAATCAGATACAACAAAAAAGGTGACAAAAAATTACTTCAACCCCTTGAGTGCCATAATTGTCCGCACCGGTATTTTGGTGCAGCAACTTTTTTCTGTATTTTTTGTGGATCAGGTGAATGTAATATCTACAGATATTTGTAGTTTTGCTGTCATTGAATCATTCCATGTAAAGGCAGTTTTCTTGAATTTGATTCCTGTGTTTTGACCCTCTGGCAAGTTCAGTTATTTGCTCAATAATAATTCAATACAATGTGACATTGAATATGTGTATTTGCAAGGTATTTCTACCCAAATACTCACTAACTCAGGCCTTGGAGGCTCTACTTGTGTGGTTGAAGTTTTTGGATTTGAACCTCGCCCTTCGCCAACTTTTTAAATAGCTGAGGAAGAACTCTATCTCCTCATTAACTCCTGACCTTCTACTCTGTCTAAAATGGTATAACTGACCATGCAATATTAATAATGACTCGTACATATTTCATAAAAACATTTTTACTTACAATGGGATTCAGTATAAAGTAAATCAGGAAAGATAAAACTTGCAATGTTTTCCAATTTACTTGAAATGAGCTAGTGAACTTTCACTTTAATAATTACAACAATAATTGAGGGTATGCTCATGCTCTATGAATTCCACATAAAGAAATATTTTTTTCTCTAAATGTACTCAAGAACATTGAAATTTTTTTTTTTGCTTTTGTAATGTCATTGTTATGCCAATTCTTAGTACAAATCAGAAGCTTAAATTTCTTTGAAGGTACTGTATGGTTTAGTTGCCAATTTTAGTAACATAAATGAACATTTCCTAGTGTATACAAATATCTGAGATGTTATTGAAGAACACCAAATTATGATGTGCATTTAAAAAAACAAAAATATTGTGAATGTCATAATTTTTCTAATAAGCGTGACTAGCAATTTATCACCCTCAGTGTAATATGATCTATATTAACGAACCATCTAAAATACATTTAGAGAGTAAAATCAAATTCCTTGTATTATATTTATATTGGAAGTACTTTATTCATGCTAATTTTTTTTTATTTTATTTACAATTTGGTAATGATATTCAGATATTAAATAAATTATTATTTAATGCTTAATCTTGATTGTTCACAATGAAAATAAACATTTTATATTCAACTATTTTGTCTGTTTATTCATGTATATCCGATTTGAGTACAAGTGAAATGTCTAGTCATATTTGGCGAATGTCTTAAAAAAGGTGTTGTTAAAGGGAAAAAAATAAATAGATTCACGTTCAGTTTTTGGTTTGCTTTGTGAAAGTCAATAATTCCTTCTGAAGGACATCCATGAAATATTCACTACTACAAAATGTGTAGGGATTTTATCCCAACTCGCAAAAATGTTTTCACCAAAAAACACAAGTTACCAACTTAGTCCAGGTTTGACTCTTTAATTTCTAATCCAGCAATTCAATATGTTCTTGAAAGTGGAGCTAAAGATGCTTAAATTATTTGTTATAATTAGTAACTCCAGTTATAACTAATGTAGGATCTACATTTTCTTCACAATACATGTGTACTATGTCACTTCAACTGAAGTTGTCTCCAGGGACTCAACTGAAATAAAAGCTTTTACAACATTTAACTTGAATAATTGAATTTTATTCAGAAAAAATTAAACAAGGTAAATGTTTCTGCATAATAAAAGAAAAGCTTTTTTCTGCTGTTTTTTTTTATTCAAATAAAAAAATCAACTGATATGGTCAGTAACATGTTTATTTACAAATTTGTGAGTGAAAACTAGTCAGTTTTGAAATAGTGTGTATAGTGTGTACTTGTACTTGGCTGGGTTAAACCTTTTCATTATAGCCAGTATCCAGTTTTTGAACAAGTACTTAAGCACAGTTAGCAAGCTTGCAGACACTAATTGCAGAAACTTTTGACTAAAATTGATAGTTAACCTCACTTGCTGGTAGGGAATGCGCAGTCAGCATTTCTTGAGTAGGATTTCACTACAAAACAGGTAAATACTAGTGTGGTTGATTTAAAGTGTGGTTGGCATTGCATGTCGCATGTGTGAGTTATTGGTCCCATGAAAAGCAACTCAAAACTTGTTTGTCAGGAATATTAACATGTACAAATGACTGGAACGCATTGAAGGTCTCTGGGCAGACATATAGTGCACATTGTGGCTGGATCAACCTTCATTCGTGTTTGCTACAGAGAGATAGTATCTTGCACATGTTTGTTGCGACAACCAACACCCACTGAAATTAGCTCCATTCAAATAGATCTGGATGCTGCCACAAAAACACATGGAGTTGTATGCTACTCATAAAATATGGAATTACGCACTGTGATGATGTTGTTTATTATTTTATTTAAAAAAATGGAGATATTCAATTTTAGATGAATAATTAACTGGCCCAAGAGTTTTCATCCACTTCACTCCTTATAGCACTGTCCTGATCGCACCACCATACTGTCCTGATCGCACTACCACACTGTCTTGATCGCACCACCACACTGTCCTGATCGCACCACCACACTGTTCTGATCGCACCACCACACTGTTCTGATCACATCACCACACTGTCCTGATCGCACCACCACACTGTCCTGATCGCACCACCATACTGTCCTGATCACATCATATCTCCCTACATCTGTTGTAATGGTAGAATTCCAAGCAGTCTCATACCATTGGATAGTGTCAATCTCGCTGAGTTAAATAACAACAGTCTTGCCTGGAGCAGTTAAAAACATGAAACAAAGTTATAAAAGAATAAATGATACATTCGTGCAGGTAGACTTGCCCAGTCATGGCAAATTTATTATTATACATGTATATGATAATTTCTTAAAGAAAGAGTTTGTAGAATCTCTCCTTGATGCAAACTTTCCTCGACTGGTCTATTCTGTCTCCGCCCTCTATAGTTTTCGTCATGTTTTTGAGTTGATAAATATGCTAATGAGTGGCATGAACTGTCAACCAAAAAATCTACTTTATTCCACTTCCAGGTTCTAAAACATCATGGAATATCATGAATAGATAATAATGAATACACGATTTAAAAAAAAAAAAAAAATTATAAAATTGTCACAGCTGGGCCTGTCTAATGCAGAGGGTGGATAGCAAAAATATAAATTGGTTGAAATAAGTCTTTTTTTATTCACATGTATATTATATTGGATACTGCATTAAACTGTGACAGTTCTTTCACTGCATTATGTGAGTGCCTTTAGAGTGCCAATGTGGACTTTTCTCACCATCACAAAATCTAATTTTTTTTTTCATTTTTTTTTTTTTTAAATTTTCATCAAGCCAGCAGAAAATTATAACCACTTGGATTATTGTCAAAATTACAAAAACATACCTAAAAATAGGCAAATTATTGGCAAGAAAAATGATGGTGTTCAAAGACTTTAAGTGGGTCCCATGCCTGCAACATATTTCCTGTAAAAATACATTTATCACAAGAAATACAATTCAAAGTACACAGTGTGCTGACTGTGGGGCTTTAGTTTTGAATTATGTTTTAAATTATTGTGTGGTTCATTTATTTAAAATGACAGCAACATGAACGATGTCAGTGTTGAAAAGAAAATTATAGTTTTCAAGCTTTTGATGTTTCTATGGAAACAATTTTGAAAACACTTTATTTAAAAAGAAATTGTTCTTGAATGTGCATATTGCAAGTATGGTAACATATTAGCATACATTAAAGGGTGGCAGTCGTCTCATTGCGTCCTGTTCGATACGGGACTCATAGCGACGTACCCAACGCGTGCAAAATACATTGTTTATTTACATGAAATTCAAACCCACGCTGCACGGCGACCACCGCGCTTTAATTGTATCTGAATAGGTTTGGTTCTCACCTTAGCTAAGTCAGTATTACTTCCTTTTACCATCAGTGTGTTATGAGCCGTGGACGCTACATGACTGAACAGAAATGTTACAAAATTAATGTGAAAACAAAGTCATCTTTTAATAGTACAATTGAGGGGGCAATAAGTAACAGCTCATTATATATGTAGATCAATATTTCATGAAATGTGGTTGGCAAAAATCAGAAATGAAGTAAGCTTACATGTAACAGAAATTGAACAAATAAAAACAAAGTAAATGTTGACAGAATGCATGAGGGCGCTATTATTTATTATATAGACGCACTTTAAAGATGGTAATTGCAGTTCTTATTTCTTACCATAATCTAAACAAATATTTGACAATATTTTTCGGTTCTATTTCTGTATATGCTTTATAAACAGCATCCTCATATGCTGCTATCTGTTGCACTAATTGTGTGGCTTCTTTCTCCTGTAGCAAGGTAGTATTGCAGTTTGTATCAAGTGAAATGTTGCATAGTTTCTCAATACTAAAAATAAATAACAAAATTAGGAAAATTAAACTAACACCGGTGAAAGGTATAAATAATTTTTGAGTAGTGTTCCAGCATGCCAGAAATCTCATTTCAATTTAAAATAAACGTTTTGTGTTGTCATCTTCGAACCAGTGCAGCATTCTGGCTTCAAACAAAACAGTGATTTGAATGAATTTGATGAATTTTGTGAAATGTTCTGGCCGAGAAAGTTAGACAGGGGAGTCACAGCAGTGAAAGTTAGGCAGAGGAGTCACAGCAGTGAATGTTAGGCAGGGGTTGAGTCACAGCAGTGAATATTAGGCAGGGGTTGAGTCACAGCAGTGAAAGTTAGGCAAGGGTTGAGTCACAGCAGTGAAAGTTAGGCAGGGGTTGAGTCACAGCAGTGAATGTTAGGCAGGGGTTGAGTCACAGCAGTGGAAGTTAGGCAGGAGTTGAGTCACAGCAGTGGAAGTTAGGCAGGGGTTGAGTCACAGCAGTGAAAGTTAGGCAGGGGTTGAGTCACAGCAGTGAAAGTTAGGCAGGGGTTGAGTCACAGCAGTGGAAGTTAGGCAGGGTTGAGTCACAACAGTAGAAGTTAGACAGAGGTTGAGTCACAGCAGTGGAAATTAGGCAGGGGTTGAGCAACAACAGTGGGAGTTAGGCAGGAGTTGAGTCACACAGTGGGAGTTAGGCAGGAGTTGAGTCACACAGTGGAAGTTCGACAGGGGTTGAGTCACAGCAGTGGAAGTTAGGCAGGAGTTGAGTCACAGCAGTGGAAGTTAGGCAGGAGTTGAGTCACAGCAGTGGAAGTTAGGCAGGGGTTGAGTCACAGCAGTGGAAGTTAGGCAGGGGTTGAGTCACAGCAGTGAATATTAGGGGAGTTACAACAGTGAAAGTTAGGCATGGATCATATCGACCTTGTGAAATTGTGATAATTCATCTCTTTGTAGTAACATCATGTGACTTCATGGTCAGTATGGAGATAAGCTGTGTATTACCAAAATGAAACAAGATTTGTAAAAAATGAGATGAGATCTATTAATTATTATAACAATTGACTATTGGTATATATCTGTTATCATATCGCCATAGGTTACAGCATTTGTGATATTGCACAAGGTATCTGCATCCTTAATTTTCACCACCAAGTTCTGGGCTTTATACACCAAAGGATTACATTGACATCCACTATGTGTCAGTTAATACATTCAATCTCAGCTATGAATCACATTCAAGCTCTAACACCATTGGTCAATGCTCTGGCTGTGTAATCCTAGTGCATCATCTTTGTAATATCCTTATATTATGTGATCATTAGCATCAGTATATCTTACCTGCATAATCTGGCATGTGAATACTGTAAATAGACTCCAGTGTCACCATGGCTCTGTAAAACTTTGTCCCAATCAAACTTATAATCAGAATTTAAATTATTCTTCAGATCCTGAATAATAATAGCACTGATTCCCAGTGCTTCAGCAACCTCATCCAAATTGTCAACTTTAGTAGCTGTAATGTAACAAATACAAGACTGCTAGTTTGTGTTATTATAAAAATACTGGTACAGTATTTGCTCTACTAGTAGCATGAACTTTTGTGTAAATTGCAGGGATAACTCTATGGGCCAAACTAAGTCTCTCACAGGGATTCTGCTTCCCTGACCCGCATTTTTGAACAAGCAAGGGTCCCATTTCTGATAGAGATGCAAAGATTATATTGCCAACTTCTCTGAATATTTTGTTTAACTAAAATGCAAACGTAATCAGTGGTTTTATTGCATACAATAAAATTTTACGATAAAATGGATCTATAAGTGATTTCGTCAAAATCATGATTAACTTGTAACCAGGAGTTTCAGAATAGAATAAATAAACACAAGCAGAACAAAAATCTAAATCTTAAAATATGTTTGCTCCATGCTGAATATAGGAAATTAAAAGAGCTTTTCCGTGATTACATGTTAAGAATTTTGAGTTCAATATTAAAGTTTTTTTATGAACAAATAGTCTAGTTCAATAACTGGGCTGAATTCTTGTTTTGAGAAAAGGAAGGCTCAGTGCAGTATATCATTTTCAAACAAAAACAAAGTAAAAATTGAAGCTGAACACCAGAGAGCGTTATCAGCAGAGCTTAAAATAATGCAATGTAGATCTCATTCCATCGATAACAAAAACAATACATAATTAAAAACTCAATGCTTGAGATCATCATCACCAGAGCTCAACAAGGAAGTTAACAGAAATCCAGTACAGAATGAAGAATTTTCAATCAAAACAAAGTAAAAATTGAAGCTGAACACCAGAGGGCATTATCAGCAGAGCTTAAAAAGGTGCTGTGCAGATCTCAATTACCTTATAAGCCCATCAGTGCCTTTAAAATCATATGGTATTGTTAGCTTTGGGCTTCAATAACTCCAGCTGTTAGTGTATCATTTTTATTGACAAGTACCAGTGACCTGTGGAGCAGGGCAACTTTTGATTCCAGACACAAAAAAATGGATGTTTTTTACTGAAAAACTTGACAGAAAGGCTGACAAATCTGTGTAGTTTGTTTACATTCATTTTGCAGGATTTTGATCTAAAGAAGCTATTTTGTTAGTGAAGTTAGTGTCATGACACAAGCATCATTTGGATGCTTAAAACAAAAACAATGTAAAGTCAAATCGAACACCTGAGGGCATCATCACCAGAGCCAACCAAGAAAGATCACAAAGATGCAGTGCAGAATTTGTAAACTTGAAACACAAAAACGAAGTAAAAAAGAACACTTGAGGACATCATTACTAGAGACTATTAAATCAAAAAGGATAACTCACTTTGCGAGTATTTCATATTATGTAACATCCTGGTTTTGGCTTCATCTAAAACATCTTGTAGAAATATAACATCTCCTTTTCTTGTGCTCATTCCAATCACTTTACCAAACTGAACATGATGGCATCTGAAATACATACATGTTATGTGTAATTAGTCAGACACAGACCTCATGTACAAATGTACTGCATGAAATGCAACAAAATTGTTTTTATATTTATTATTTTATTTATTTTATTATTTCATATTTATTTTATATATATATATATATATACCGATATATACATAAATCAATGAACAATTCTTTACAATGTAATTTCAAATTGTATATGTTTAGTTAAAGAGGGTCGTCACCTGCGCATGCGTCAGATGACCATAGCGTGTCATTGTTTACAAACGAGCATCTACCCATGAGCCTTTGCATTTTAGCATGTGTTATTATCGTCGCTTGAGACTCATTTCCCGCATGTCCGCAGGTGACAACCCTCTCGCTTTAAGTATAGTTGACAGAACAAATCAGACTGGTGTTGTTGACCAACTTGTCTATTGTCTAAACCATGATTTCTGACATAATTCCATACCATCACTGCGCACGACCCCATGAAGTGCTATGTGTGATGTGTATGTGTGGTGGTGTTCATTATAGTACGCATGAGCTGCTGTTTTTTTTCAACCAGGTAATACTGAGCACAAATACTTTTTTTTAACAAATGTACCAATATGTTATCAGCCAACAACACATGTACAGATGAAAGGTTATTATTTTGTTGAAACAAGTAATTCATTTGTAACATGATGGTATTATAGGCACAGGAGATTTTCTAGAAAAAAAACTGCAAGAGGGAGCACTGCACAGTTTTTGATAATTCCATATGTTGAAATGGAACATTCTATGGCTTCCTTGGGGCCAAAATTACTAACCAATTTTATGGTTGCCAGAGGATCTGCTCCTCAGGGTGAGGGGGCGCATGGCCATGGCATGAGGGCGCTGCGCTGCACCCCTCTTCCCTTGTTTTAAAAACATCTCTGTAGGCAGTATATCTGATTTGTTGTCCTTTGTTTTGTTTTTTTATTTAGTACCAATAAAATGTAATCTTGGCTCACTATTTATGTGAAATAAAATAAAAAAAATAATAATAATTATATTTTTAGAACAAGATATAAACTGAATAACTATTCCTACCTGTCAGCCCATTCATATTTCATTTTATTCAACGTCCCAAATAGTTGTCGGAAATGTTGGTTTTGGCTTTTGTCAACAACATAATACATCCTGTTGAATTTGTAGTTGTCATGGCGATGGATGGCAGCGGCAATATCCCTGGTGATGTAGAGAGTAGTTCCATCACTCCTCATCAATGTTGAGTAAAACTTCATTGAGTTGTCTGCTGTCAGGTCAACGACCCCGGTACCTCTCCTACGGACAGAAAAATCATGTTCCTGATTACCCAGAATGCATTATCATTACATAGGACTGAAAGGTTTTTAATGAGGAAAAAAGCTACATTTTGTCTGATTCTCAATAAAAGTCATCAGGAATTCTAATAAGTACAAAGTTATCATTATTTCGAAACATATAAGACACACAATTATAAGAATGTATGTTTTTAGTTTTGTCAGGCAGGCGTATTTTCTGGCTGTGCTGTAATTCTAATGTTCTACTTGAGTGGGTCGAAAAAACTAATTCTATTCACCAAATACAAAATTAAAATTTACAATTCATTTTATTTTCATCGTCTCAAGCTGATTCTCCATGAATATCAAAAATAATTGAATTTTGAGATACATGTAACAACAGTCTCAGTGTTAATAAATTATAAAATCAATCTTACTTCGATAATTGAAGGATTCCCATCTTCTTGACCTGCTCTATAACTTGTAGTGCTGGGTCCCCAAACATTGACTCTCCAGAATAAACATCAAAACCTACACCAAGTCTCTGTAGAAAAAATATTAAAAAACATTATTTCTAAAGTGTTGAAACAGAAATAAATAAATAATAACAATTTATTGTATATTGGATCTCTGAAATATGTCTTTATTATAGACACGCCTCTTTCATTTACCTATCAGAGCATGTGCTACTAATAAAGGTAACATGGTACGTACACCCATCTAAGACGTTTCATTTACAGTGGTTCTTAGAATTATTCAGACGGTTAGTTAGCGACATTTCAGATCGCTGTATGACTGATGACATGTTTATCATCATTTTAAACAATTCAGGGAAAGTTGTCTGAGAGCAACTGTTAAAGAGCAACTTTAAAAGCTGCATTTTTATAACATTTTTTGAGATCAAACTATGAGGAGTTCGAGATAGCCATGAAAGTACCAACAACCTTAAATTAAATTTTTTGGTAAAAAAAATGAAAGACTAAAGAATAACAATTTTCCAGTATTTTGGTGACAGACTTTCATCATGCTGTTTTGTTTTGATATAAATAATAAAGTTGCTTACTTGGTAAATTCGGCTATATTCATCTATGCTCAGTTCTCTGAATCGTTGCCATAGTGATAAAGATTTCTCATCTCCTGCATTGTAAAAAAAAAGCGACACGTTTTGATGACGTAATCTAAGCAAAGTTATCAATTAACCATTTTAGGTTAAATTAATTATTATCTTTTCATAAACAGTGTGTATTTTATTTTAATTTATTATTTATTTACTGCTAGTTTTTGAAATTTTGGTAATCGTAAAAAACCATAATAAAAAAAACACAAGATTTATGTAATTAAAAATGAACAATACATTACTAATTAAAATTATAAAAAGAAAATATTATAGTGAAAAAAAATACATTTAAAATCTTGGTATATGACAATGGGATATATGAAAGAACATTTAAAGATTAAAATGAAATTATAATTATAGCTACAAAAACAAAACATGTGATGGATTTGTCTACAACTGACTGATATACTAGAACAAAAATGCCACACACAAAAAAGGGATATTTACCTAAAGTAAACACTAAAAATGAGATCATAATAACTCAAAAAGCTGGAGTCATACTCATATATATCAACAACTTTCTATTATTTAAAAAAAATTAATTACACAATTTGAATCTATTTGATACCTTCTTCCATATTTTTAAAGAACTGTCTTGCTGAGTCATAAACTGTCTCATCTTTGTCGGCATCTTGGTTAACCCTCACGTAGATGTCGAATAAATGCTGAATTGCATTCTGGGATAGCTGACTTTCTGACCCATATTTTAAGAACCCTACTCCCAATAAGCCTGTGAATAAATGAAAAAATATTTTGTCAAAACCACAGTCATTAGCAGCTAGGCAATGAATATGCGTACAAACACTGCAGCCAAGTATGGTGTCATGTCTTGTGAATCCCATTTAAATCTCACAAATTTTGCAGTGGTACGGTAGCTTCGTATTTTGAAACCTTCAAAGTACTATGATGAATCTATTTACTATTTTAAAAACTAGAGAATACACTTTTTTCCACTTTTTCAATCAACTTATTAATTCTTATGAATCACGTGTTGAAAGTCACCATGAATAGTTGAAAGGGGGGGAAAAAACTGTGTCAGCGGCTGATTAAAGCGGGAGGGCTGTCACCTGAGTCCCAAGCGATGATAACAACA